AACTGATAGGAAATTCTTACATTTCGTGTTAGGGAAGCTGAAAGTAGTATAGAGTTTCTCTGCAAGTAGTTTCCTGGGGGATTTACAAGAGGGTTCCATTCCATATCAGAAACTATGCAGACTACAGTCAGGATGTCCTTCACGAGAATAATATCTGAGGTCCACTGGGGGGAGCCAGAGGATAATGTCCCTTACAAATGTCACGAAGGGAATTCCAGATTCCTCTTAAATTTAGGAAAATGGATGGTTCAGGTTAATTGAGTGTCTTCATGTGAAAATATGATCTTTTCTTTCTTTATAAGTACTTATTAAAACAAAAAGAATAATTTAACATTTAATATAATAACACGACAATACAAACCTCCTGTTTTAAAACGCAGCACAGCTGAACAAACATTTCAGATCCACATGGGAAAGCCGCCAATTGGAGACACTTTCAGCCATTATGCTGAGGGAAAAGGATTTTTCTTGAAGATAGATTCAGGTGTGTTGTTGGTCTGAAGCAGCAGAATAAAGTGTGAGTCCAGTGGCACCTTGAAGACCAACAAAATTTTATTCAAGGTATAAGCTTTTGTGTGCAAGTGCACTTCTTCAGATACAGTGAAACAGAATTTCCTCAACTATTACGTATAGGTAGAGAGAGGGTGAGGGGGTTAGTTGCCAGGAAGGCCTAGTCAGAGTCAAGATGCATAAGTAATTTGGAGATTATAGGTGAGATTGGATTAAGGTGATTGGTAAGATCTGTCAATGACAATAAATTAGCATACAAATACAAGAATGAACAAACAAATGTGAGAACAAAGTTTGAGTCCAGTGGCACCTTCAAGATAACAAAGTTCAATTCTTGGTATAACTGAGACAGCCTGTGTAGATGCACACTCCTTCAAATACATGATTGTAACAGATTTCCTCAAATGTTACGTATAGGTAAAAAGGTAAAAGTAAAGGTTTCCTTGCTCGAAAGCCAGTCGAATCCAACTCTAGGGTTGCAATGCTCATCTCCGTTTCAAAGCCGAAGAGCCAGCGCTGTCCGAAGACGGTCATGTGGCCGGCATGACTAAACACCAAGGCGCACGAAATGCTGTTACCTTCCCACCGAAGTGGTACCTATTTATCTACTTGCAATTTCTTGCTTTCGAACTGCTAGGTTGGCAGGAGCTGGAACTAGAGACGGGAGCTCACTCTGTCATGCGGCACCTGGGTCTCGAACTGCTGAACTACCGACCTTCCATAGCCTGCAGTTCAGCGTCTTAACCACTTGAGGTAGGGGGGGATAATTGCCAGGAAGGGCTAATTAGAGTCAAGATGTATAAGTTACTGAGCAATGAATAGAGCTGGTATTGAAATAACTTCTTTGGTAACACATGTGAACAACAGAAAAAACAGGTAAAACAGCAAGTACCATAATTGCTGCAAAGCTTTTCATACTTTTTCTGAACAAACATAACAGTAACATGCTTAGGGAAGAACTATGTCCTTAAGGTAGGGTTTCCAGGTGCTGCTACTCCTAAGTTTGTAAATTTTAGTATTTTCCTCTCTGACACCTGAAATTTCTGCACTGTGTCATTACATGTTAAGTAAGCAAGTTTTCATAAATCTAGGCACTTCTTGGGGATTACAAATGCTACCCAAATTAGAGATTTTTGTAAATTTTAGTGCTGGTACACAGAACTTAAGGGCAATATAACTGATCTTTGTTAAAACAAGGTATATGAGCAACCAACTTCTCAGCCGTGCAGTCTTAAGCAGAATCACACAGTTCTAAGCCCATTCGACATGGAGGGCTGTATGCCAAATTCATTGTTTAATAGAACAAATTTAAAGTCCAGTGGCACCTTTAAGACCAACAAAATTTTATTCAAGGTATGAGCTTTTGTTTGCATACACACTTTTTCAAACACAGTGTGCCTGCACATGAAAGCTCATACCTTGAATAAAACTTTGTTGGTCTTAAAGGTGACACTGGACTCTAAATTTCTTCTCTTGCTTCAGACCAACATGGCTGACCACCTGGAACTATCTTCATTGTTTAATATTTATTTGTGCTTCCAGAAAATCAAGGTGCTGTATGGCTGTGGGATTAAACCCATAAAATTGTAACTTTCCCTCAACATCTATCAGTCATCTTGAACTGAAATTATCTGTAAGACTTAGGCCCTGTTCACATGGCGAATTTGCCCCGCAGGAGGGACGGCTTGCCTGCGGATTAAAGCTGCGCGATCATACCTGAACATCTGGGAAATGTCGCATTTTCTCTAACCTGCAGCTTTGGCCCAAAGACACGAATTTAAAAGCTACCAGGAACCATGTACTAGTTTCCCGATAATGCGCGGCGCGTGTGGGTGTCTGATCAGGAAGCAGTGGTAGCCCGTTGCAGCCAGCGCCCGTCAGCGTCCCACACATGCGCACAAATGCCTTGCTGCTGTGTTGCTTAGCGTGGTGTGATCGGCTGCTGGAGGCTTGGGCACGGAGCCTCGGGGGAAGATGAGATCACACTACCCGCGCGTCTTTTTGCTCCGGCTCAAAAAGCCTCCCATCCCCTGCGGATTATCCCACTCGTGTGACCGGGGCCTTAGTGAAGTTAATCCAACAGGGCTGAAATTTAGCTCGAGCCAAAATATATGCTTGAAACCAGCCCTGTGCTTCAAGTGGCATCATCCCCGACTCTACCCTGAAACGAGCATTGATAATGCAACGTGGGACACTAAATATGTATCTGAGAAATTTTGTTTGTATTGCTTCCAGGGAACAAAAATATTTATAAAGATGTATCTGTGAGTACCCACTTCTCCAAAAAGAAGCAGGAAAAGGCATGATTAGCTCCTTGCTTTGGAAAAGAAGGAAATAGGCACCAGAAAACATACCAGCGAGCACAATGGTATCAGTGGGCACCATACTGAGAATCACTGACAAAGGCAGTGTCTTAGATAAACTTGTGTAACAGTGAGTGAACTGTTAAAAAAGATAATTTTGTTTAAAAGAAAAAAATTATGAGCCAGGGCCCCCCCAGCAGAGCCCGCCTTCTTCTTCTAAGGCAGAAAGGTAACAGCAGTGCAACAGAAGGCAAATATAAGGTTTTACACCTCTCCAAAAGTTAATAAATGCTGGACAGTAAACAGGTTGTTTTGATGTTGATTGCAAAGGATTACGGTCTGTAATTCTGTTCACTTGTGTTCCAAATCTTTGTGCCTATTAACATTCCTTTGCAATGTACATACTGAAGGCCACACATATCTCAAGTTAATTTGCCTTTGCATTGTATCTGAAAATTCTTTCAAACATTAGAGCTTGAGTTTCCTAAATTATATGGTATTTTCAGTTGTTGATGTGCGAGTACATGCAGTTTGACAATCATGCAAGCGGCCATGAGTTTTACCATGAACCATGTTCCAGATACAGTAAATATTGTGCAGTTGCACACTTTGCTCACATGACTTTCCTTCTAGTTTAATCATTATCTTTAAACTTGTAGGTCAAACAGAAGTGATAACCGCCTTGCTGTTGTTGGTAATGAGGATGCAGGGGAGATGTTCTTTTTCTAGAGAATGATATGAGCCTGTGGAGACTAATTCTAGAACAAATGTAAATATATTTAAACAGCACAACATGTACTGTTTGCGCCTCTTTTCAAATCCACAACGTTAAAAAAAGAAAATTCATTTCGCATTTCACATTCCAGAATACTGAATTTTGCAAATGAACACAAATTTGCACTTTAATGGCAAGCTGTGGATATATAAGCCTTCCTTGATAAAACCTGCATTTCCTTGACATTTGTCCATGTTTACATTAAAATGTAACAGTTTTAAACATATGAAATCAGATTGTTGTAGTTATTAAATCATGAATATCTCTTTAGACGACTAGACAAGATTAAACACACAGGTTAAAAAGAGTGCTATTTACACTAGACCAGAATAAAATCTCTGCAAAGTTTATTCTTTGACATTATTTGAAAACACCAGTATAAACAAAATTCTGACATCCAAATGATATCACTGAAGTGAACAGAGCATCTTAATTGTGAGACATGAGCAACTAATACAACAATGTTCCCTGATCTAGATTAGCTGAAATGAAAAGTGGGGCAGTGACCCTTGAATTATTTTGTTAATAGATGTCAATGAAAGGTTTAATCCAAGATATACCTTATGATTCATTGGTGGGGTTGGTACTGACGAATATATGACTGTGCATGTGTCAAAGATTCTCTAGTCTCTACTCGTTTGCTAAAATGGATTTTAAAGGAAAATGAACAATGCACTTTCCTACCATTAGTATACCCTAGTTTCCAAAACTAATGGGGGGGGGGAGAGTATTAAATATGGCCTTTCCTTTTAACAGTGAGTAGTCATAAATTGTAGCTGTTGCAAGTGTAAGAAAAAACAAATCATTTTCTTGCATCACCCACAAAGAGGCATCCATAGTGAGGTTTTTCTAATATGAAAATTTATTTAACTCTAATAATGTTTTAAATACAACCCATTAGATATTTAAATGATTAAAATATATGAACCCATTTGTTCTAAGAATTCAGTACTAGTTGATCAGATGCCAGGGCTATGTATGTGGAATCCAAGCTGTTGGATTAGGTTGTGCAGTTGGCCACCTAGCATCATGTAATATGCACAATACAACTTTTTTTTTTGTCATCAAGTTACAGCTGACTTACGGTGACGCCAAAGGGTTTTAAAGGCAAGTGACTAACAGAGGTGGTTTACCATTGCCTGCCTTTGCATTGCAACCCTGGTATTCCTTATTGGTGTCCCATCCAAGTACTAATCAGGGTTGACCCTGCTTAGCTTCCGAGATATGACAAATTCAGGTTAGCCTGGGCTATCCAGGTCAGACCACAATACAACTTACAACCAGGTATATACACCAGGCTGGGTGCATATTGCCCTATTTGGATTGGAACAATTGTATTAGCATACATGTAGAGATAAAATTGTTACGTTTGCTACACATTGATAACATTACGTTTTTCTTACTCTCAATAGGTGATACTGGTGGAAAAAAGGAATGAGAATGACTACTTTTTGTTGATTCCCAGCAGCATGTCAGGTAACACAAATCTATATTATAAGAGCTTGCCACTTCTTTTTCAGCTCTGTGGTTCTATACATGCTAGATCCATGGAGTTCTGTGTGACATAAGTCCCGCTTCAGTGACACCCTCTTGCAGTGGAATTGTATTTACAAAGCATTTTTTCATACTGAATGGAGTCAAATTTTTTGCTGAGATCTGTGTGTGGATCAAAGCCCTGTCAAGTTTTGCATTGCGGACATTCTATTTGTATCAGAATGGTATTTATTTCCCTTTTAGGTCAAAAGAAGTGACATCCATGAAAAACGATCCATTGAAGTGAATCGAGAAACCCTTGTTTACATGGGAATACTCTCTACTGAGCCGAGTGCCCAGTTCTACCTTTGTCTTATCCTTTTCTTATTTTGAGTTTGTAGTCATCAACCTTCTCTACCTACAGTGGAGCAGAGAGAGAAAATTGTTTTGTCATCTGAAGTGTACAACTTTTTGCTTACATCAAAGAAAGTGTATTCAGAGCAAATAACCCTAGCAGGTGAGCCTAGCTGCAGACTATTATTGTCTATTACTATGATGGAATGAGTCATTTGGAAGATATTATAGGAAACATTTAACCATCTTTCAGATGGGATCGCATTGAGGCTTAGACTAATCCCAAGGGCAATCAGTGAATTAATGGCAGGAAATTCAAAACACAAGAGAGCGGATCACTCAGTGGAGCCCAAATCTCAGACTGCAGTTAAGGAACTGAAGACAAAAGATGCAGGTAAGGAGAGGCTGAGAGTGATGGAGCTCCACACAAGTTGTCAGAGATGCCTACCAATGGAGCAGGACACAGAGAGCACAAGAGAATTACGGATCAGCGAAGGCGTGAGAGAAAGAAGCATGTAGATGGAACAGGAAACAAGAGACACATGGAAGAGAAATTCATAGGGCAGAGAAAATGAGAGACCGGACACACACCACATGTCCCAGAGTAGAAGTGCACTTGGGCTTCTTTTTCTGGGAGTAATTGTTGTTGTTGTTCAGTCGCACAGTCGAGTCTCTTTGCGACCCCATGGACCACATCACGCCAGGCCTTCCTGTTGTCCACCATCCTCTGGAGTTTGCTCAATTTCATGTTCGTTGCATCGGTAACACTGTCTAACCATCTCATCCTTTGCCGTCCCCGTCTTCTTTGACCTTCAATCTTTCCCAGCATCAGGGTCTTCTCCAGTGAGTTCTCCCTTCTCATTTGGTGGCCAAAGTATTTGAGCTTCATCTTCAGTAGCTGGCCTTCCAGGGAACACTCAGGTTTGATTTCCTTTAGGATTGACTGATTTGATCTCCATGCAGTCCAAGGGACTCTCAAGAGTCTTCTCCCGCACCATAGTTCAAAAGCATCTATTCTTCGAAGCTTAGCCTTCCTTATGGTCCAACTCTCGCAGCCATACATTACTACTGGGAATACCATCACTTTGACTATGCAGACTTTTGTTGGCAGGGTGATGTCTCTACTTTTTATTACGCTGTCAAGGTTTGCCATCGCTTTCCTCCCAAGGAACAGGCGTCTTTTAATTTCATGGGTGCAGTCACTGTCTGCAGTGATCCTGGATCCCAGGAACGTGAAGTCTGTCCTCTTCACTTTCTGCCAGTAGAGTGGTATTGTCTGCATATCTGAGGTTGTTGATCTTTTCCCCAGCAATCTTAATTCTGGCTTGTGATTCATCCAGGCTGGCATTTCGCATGATGTACTCTGCATATAAATTAAATAAGCAGGGTGACAATATACATCCTTGCCATACTCCTTTTCCGATGCTAAACCAATCAGTTCCTCCATGTCTGGTTCTGTCGCTTCTTGACCCTTATACAGGTTTCTCAGGAGACATGTTAGGTGGTCTGGTAGTCCCATCTCTTTAAGGACTTGCCACAGTTTGTTGTGTTCCATAGTCAATAAAGCAGAAGTAGATGTTTTTCTGGTACTCCCTTGCTTTCTCCATAAGCCAGCAAATGTTGGCAATTTGATCTCTCATTCCTCTACCTCTAAGAAACCCAGGGACTCATCTTCTGGTTTCATATATTTTAGCCTTTTGTTACTGTCCATGGGTTTTCTTGGCAAAGATACTGGAGTGGGTTGCCATTTCCTTCTCCAGTGGATCGCAGTTTGGTGTAGTGGTTAAGCGCACGGACTCTAATCTGGGAGAACCGGGTTTGATTCCCCACTCCTCCACTTGCACCTGCTGGATGACCTTGGGCAAGCTGTTCTGGCACAGCTGTTCTTGAAAAAGAGCAGTTTCTGTCAGAGCTCTCTCAGCCCCAACTACCTCACAGGGTGTCTGTTGTGGCGAGGGGAAGGGAAAGGAGTTTGTAAGCTGCTCTGAGACTCCTTTGGGTAGTGAAGGAATCCAATCTCCTCCTCTTCTTCTCTTCTCCTTCTGTTCCTTCTCCAGTGGATCTCATTTTGTCTGAGTTCTCCGCTGTGGCCTGTCCATCCTGGGTAGCCCTCCACAGTATAGCCCACAGCCTCACTGAACAACACAAGTCCCCTCACCACAACAAGGCAGCGATCCATGAGAGGGTTTTCTGGGAGACAGGAAGGCAATTGCTTTCATAGTCTCTACTGAAATCCTGGCTTTCCATACAAAGAGAGAGGATCATTTGGGGGGAAGTACTTCACCTTTACTTTACTTTACTTCATCTGCTTCACTTTTACTGTTCTTCAAGAGCTGTGTGTCAAGAACAGCACTACGCCGCACAGTACTGCCTTTTTTTTTACCTGAGATGGGATAAAGCAAGGCAAACTCTCATACATAGTAGCCCTACTCCACCCACCCTGTAAGATAAAGAAGGGTGAGAGGAACTTCCTTTCTTTCCTCATCTAGGTCTCCCCCCCAGGTTTCATTCAGAGTGCTTCATTCATTTGGATTTGTTCATTATTATGTAAATTCATTTCTGTGGCCTCTCCTGTGTCTTTGTTCTTCCCACTGCTACACTTCCTGTGCTGGTGACTGCAGCTGGTTCTGACATCCAGCCAGTGGGTAGGCAGCCAGTGGGGCTTATTATGTAAGTTATGCATGCAGCTACCCCTGCTAGGGATGCCAGGTTTGCCCACTGAGGGCAGGAGAATTCCTGTCTGTGCCATCCATTGCCTGTCCTTGCTCTGGGGAGCAGCAGGAAGGAGAATGGGGGGACACAACATTGCTGACATTTCAACATCACTTCCAGGCAAAGACCCAGAAGTGACATCACTTCCCCCCCCCCCATGCTGTAAGAACTGACCAAATCTCTATGGTATTTACCACAGAGCATCAGTGACACTTCCCTTTCCCAAGCCTTGTCTCCAAACAGCTCCCATGGAGCACAGGTGTGCGCCTGGCATCCCTAACCCCTGCTAACACACTCATTTTAGTTCTCTGCTGTGTCATACCTAATGTCATATCTAGGGGTTTTTTTCCTAAGCTCCATTGGTTGTTTGTGTGTCTGTCTTGGCACTGAGGAGGACCTACTCCTTTTTTTTGGTCTTGAATCTATGGAGAAGGGATAATTAATTTCCACTCCTCTCCTAGTTCCATTTCTCTAAGAGCAAGTCTGATGGCCAGAAATGCTGTGTGAAAATATTGCTGTTCTGTGAGCAATTAAGACTATGCAGATGATCATATATAGACAATCAAGCAGAGAGAGAAGAATTATTTTCATTACTTAGCCTGTTTTTTAGCCATTACCAGAATATACACATCTAACATCTCCAGTGGCAACCGGAAATTTAATTCTGGAGCCCAGCACTCAAAGCTTCCAGTATACTGCTCTGTCAGAGTAACAAATCCACAGTGCCACCCCAAGCTGAGGTGCACCCTTTTAAATCCACTGAAGTCAGTGGGCTTAGAAGAGTGTAACTCTGCTAGGATAATGCTGCTAAGATACTGGCAGTACAAGGGAGTACAGAGTTATGCCTTTTGTTAAATAGTACTTGAGCCGCTCCACCCAGGTCTCCCAAAGCTCTGGGTGAGTGGGGTCAAATTCCAGCAGATGTCCCGGAGTAGCAGCCATGGTCCCGGTTGCGATGCAATGCGTGTGGCACTGGAGCTTGATGCGTGGTGTGGTGCAGATGGGCTCTGGGCTGGCTCAACAGGATCCCACCTTCGTCGCCACTGTTAAATAGTGGGTTCCATGGATGAACAGGCCACAAGCTTAGTGATCAGTTCTACTTTATTAGTAGACAAGACTCCTGAGCCTCAGCTCTGTTAAATAGCATGCAGTTGCCACACCCAAACACACCCCACTCCCAGCGATAGGCTATTTACATAACATTATTACTAGATTGGTTACTTTCAGAATCCTGGCAGGCTATTGTTCTTATGCTCCAAGCTCAGCCAGTCTCTGGGGTGATTCAGTCAGGAATGATTCAATCCCAATACATAACACCTTCCAAAATGGAGCCAGGATGTGTGTTGTGCTGGGATGCAGAATCAAGATCCTGAACTGAAGAGGTTATTACAAGCACAGATATACTCACTGTCCAGCACTCCTCTGTAAAAAAAAAATCTCACTGGGAAGTAACAGGTATCAAGGGGGTACCTTGAATAGCATGGATCCACTGCTGCCCGAGTAATCTTCCTCTCGCCTAAGCAGCCTTTATCCAACTTAAGTGGCTCATCCTCCAATAGAAGAGCCACTTAAATTGGAGGAAGTCTTTCTAGGCTGAAGGAAGGCTTCAGACTTCACTGAGTGGTGGTAGGATAGGAGGAGGATCTACCCCAAGACCAGTGTTCCCTCTAAGCTGAGTTAGTGTGAGCTAGCTCACAGTTCTTTAGCCTCCAGCTCACACCTTTTTGTCTTAGCTCAGGAAGGATGGCTCCAGAGCAAACTAACGTAGGCAGTAGCCTAATCGCTCGCTCACAACTTCAATGCCAGTAGCTCACAAAGTAGAATTTTTGCTCACAGCTTAGAGGGAGCATTGCCCAAGACATTGTCTCTGTGAAAACAAGAACATAAAATGCCAGGCCTTGCTGGCAGCTAGAGGTGCTCGTTGGCTAACAGTCCCC